CTAGAATACTATATATAGAAATGTTTTTTGGGGAGCACAAGAAATATAATCCTGTCCTCTCTTTACCTCTGGCTATAATATTTTACAAAATAGTCTTCTTTTTTTTTTGGTCTGGGTACTTAAAACTTCAAATAATATCTCAACTTATAGAAATATACTCTTTATTATTATTCTTGATGCCTCCCCCTTAAGTATATCCAGATTTTTTTTTTCCTTTCCTTTTCTATATCCTGGGATTTAAAGATGCTGATTGCTTTTGTTTGCTCTCAAATTCCTTGGTATTTTTAGAAAATATATGACAGAGATAGATTATACGAAAATGAGTGGTAACTTCAATTTATAATTATTATTTGATGATTTTGAATAATCTTCTAAATTATTTATAATCGTCACACCAGTTGCCATGCCAATAAAATTTACATAATATTTATTATGGGAATAAATATTTATTTCCTAGTAAATGACATATCCACAAAGGTCAGGTTTAACAGTTTTTAGATGTACCAGAAAGGAAACGACAACATTAATAATAAAGATTAAAGTCACTGGTCCAAAAAGACAATCTGAACTATCCTCTCTTTAAAAGAAAACTTACCCAGTGTTCCACAGGGCTTATTTTTATAAGTGCAGATATCATATCTATGGAGGAGAGAAAAAAAGAGATGAAATTTGTAATCTGATCAAGTTTGTAAAATATTCATCACATTTCTTTCTTGGAGTTCTGGTTGTCAGACCACAATCAATGCAATTATGAGCAGCCAGCTGGATTGTCGGCATTTTCAACACTCTGGGGGACACGGCAGGCTGTACTATACTCACAGCCTCTGGCTGCAAGCCAATAGAACACCTGCCAGTAAGAAAAAAAGGTTAAAGTGGATTTTTGTAATCGTAAGTTCCATAAAACCATCTACTGTACTCTTCTGAAGTTAGAATAGCTTATCTGCAGATTGCTACTGCTTCTACAAAAAGCAAATGGGTGTAGATTATTTCCAATCTCTTTTGAACCCGCTAGAATATTTTTTGTTATAGCCACAGGTATATTTTACATTTCTGAGCTATAAGCACTATATGGAGTTGTTTTAACTCTAGTACAGGTTCTTGTTTTAAAAATATATATATAGTGTAATACAACAATGGGAATAAATTTATTCAATTATCACATATTTTTCCTAGCTACATACCACCAATTTAGTGTGGTTAAGATACAAATATTTTTAAATGTTTTACAAATAGCTAAATGAATTTCTCAATAGAAAGCTTTCCTAATTTTGGTCAGACTTTAATTCTATACTATACTGAATTATAACTCAATACAAAAGATTGAGTCTATAAAGTAATGTTGTATATTTTTAAAATATTACAGGTAGAATGCTAAGTCAATATTGGTATAAACATTTTAAACATTTTTATAATGATATCTGTGTAAACTAATCTTTAAAACCAAAAGTGTTTAGAGTTTCTAAAGTGAGAATAAAAAATAAATTTAAAAGATTGAAAAATTATATCTGCCTATGTTTTACATTAGAAATGAAAAGTTTTTCAGTAAAAAGTAAAGTTTCACAAACTACAGGGAAATCCAAGTTGTAAAAGTTCTCTTTTATTGTATATAAATAATGATTACTCAATATCAGTGGGAGGATTAGCAATTAGTCCCATTCTTATTTATCAATCCACAGATCAAAATGTATTTTCGTGAAACAAATATTACAACCAGTTGCATCACTGTGTTGTCAAACTCATTAAAATCCATGGAGATTCCTTCTGCCTATTTTTAGAATGTCAAACTCTTCATCCTGTTCATCTTTCATTTGAGAAAAGGGACTTTCCTTTCCGCTTGCATAAGTTTCTCTTCTGACTATTCACATACTCATCCCCTCTCTTTCTTCTTTTGCAATTGGTAAGCCATGGGATTGCAATGTTTGGAACATTCTTGAATGTAAGATATAGAGAGGGTACTGGTGTACTCATCAAAGCACCAGAAAGCATATTCTGGGTGTCACAGTCAATTGATCTTGTGATCATAGTGTGTTATGCCTATTATGTTAGGCATATATAGACATAACCCATCCCAGCAGTCTTCAAGAAAATGTAAACAAAGACTTTTCATAGGTTATCCAGATATAGATGTTTAAATTAGAATCTATTTCCAAACCCTCAAGTTCCATATGTGTTCCTTCCTAAAAGTGGTCTGCCTGAGAATGCACTTACAATCCTCCAGTTTTCCTTTCCTCTTTCCCCTTTTATAATTGCCCTGTTTCTACATTACAAACAAGAAAGAATACCTAATACCCATCCCAAACCTTGTTCTAGTGCATTGTTCCCTAGCATAAATGTCCCCAGAACATAAAGCAAAGGGATAATTCAAGAAAGCTTTGATCTTAGGGGATACACCGGCATGGTGGTTCACACATGTTATCCCAGTGCTTTGGGAGGCTGAGGTAGGAGGAGTGCTTGAACCCAGGAGTTCAAGGCTGCAGTGAGCTACGATTGGGCCACTGCACTCCAGCCTAGGCAACAGAGGAGACCCTCTCTCTTAAAAAAAAAAAAAAAAAAAAAACCTTAGGGGATAACCCATTAGGAGCAAAGCAAGAAAAAGTTGAAGGGAAGGATGCTTGCTTATTTCATCCTAGTAAGGCTCTATACCTTTCTGCCAGTCTGTCTGTTTATAAATCAATCTATTAATATATAACTATCTTGCAATTAGAATTCAGAAGTGGGATGGCTGTCATGGAGTGTTCATTTAATCTAAAAAATGAAGTGAGACTTGTCATTGACAATAAGTCTAACTTAGGTAAATAGTTTGTCAGTAAGGACTGATTTAGACAATTAGATTATATGCTGAACATTTTTCATGATTAAATGAGCTAAATATGTAGTTACAAAGTTTTAATAAAATTCATTAAAGCATATACACAATATATAATATGTTAACTACGGTCTCTGTAGCTACTTAAAATTACAATAAAAAGTATTTTGGATATTAACTTAAAATGTGCAAAGTGGTACATCATTTTTCAAAATTCATTTAGGAGGTACATTAAGCAAAAAGATTGAACACCACAGACAAATACAGCTTTTATTTCCAATTCATAGCAGTCCTTTCTTATCTTATTTTGCCTACATCTTTTATGTTATATTCATGATGAATATTATTTAATTCTATTACAATTGTCCTAAATAACTGCATAAAGGCTAAATTCATCAACCAATAGTATAAGCTAAAGCATCTTAGACAAAGATAATTCTATTTGCATCTTTCTTAAATCCTCTAATATATCCATAGAATTCTCTATATCATATTCTATAGGAAGAAGACACACTATTTCCTCATGGCTTTTGCATTCTCGTCACATTGTATCTATCTATCACATTGTATCTATCTCATGGAGAACAATTATGACCATGCATTATCTTTAACACTAAGTACTGAAAAGCAACATTTTTACATTCATTCTTTCATACATGGCTTTGCTGAGCACTCACCATATGCCCAGGTATAGTGCCATATATTTAGAATCTAAAGATGAATAAATAAGTTAGTTTTGGTCTATTTGGGAAAAAATACAAGATAAGCTACAAAACGACATGGAAAGAAGATTAAATGAAATAAATGCAAAAAGTTAAATTTACACAATACAACCAATGTTTGTTAGCTATCATTATGATTATTCTCACAATCAAGTAATATGCAAGTATTATAGGAATACAGAGGAAGGAGTAATTCCACAGGGAAAACTAGGAAACAGATTCACATAAGACATAACATCTGAATCAAATGTTAAAGATTTAGCCAGATAAAAAAGAAAAGTAAAGACATTCTAGGCACAGAACAAAATATTCAAAAGAACAAAGTCTGGAAAGGGTATAGCATATCCAAAGAACTATGAGAAGTTCAGAGAGGATGAAACATTAAACATACAGAATGAAATATCAGAAAATGAATTGGGGGGGCACAGATTATTCAGTATTTTGAACACCAAACCAGATTTATGTTTTCATATAGACAAAAGCAACTTGGAAAGTTTCATATTAGTCTGCATAATAGGAAAGTTTTTTAAAAAGTATGTTTATGTGAGTATATGTTTATTTGAGATTGAGTTTGTATATAGATACAAATATGAGAGGATTAACAGTGGGCATCTGAGAGAAAGGAGGGAGAATATAATGATTTTTATTATGTATCTTTCTGTAAAACCAACATTTAATCAGAAAGTGTTTCAGCTATGCCTGTCTCCGGTGACCAACACAAGAGATATTTTATAATCAGCTTAATGAATGTCTAATGAATGTTTAAAATGTGTTTTTCATTGAAGAAAAGAATTAGTGGTGTTACAAATCTGTAGATGGGCCAAAATATTTCAGAGGCACTGCCTCACTTTGCATGAACACTTAAAAAACCCAGGAAGCATTGCTGGCTGTACACTTCAATAACACATCTGAGATTTGTCCTGTATGTACACTTGTTGGTTTGGAACATTACGGTGCCTGATGACAAATGTAAGGGTAAGCAAAATTCTGTTCCAAAAAATATTTTCATGTATATATTGAGAGCACTTTTCATGCAAAATGTTGTCAGAGCACCGAAATAACAGAGAGCTGGGATTTCATCAAGCTTATAAAATGAGGAGTATGAATTATTTTGTGCCTTTTTTGTTTATTTAAAAAATATTTGTATTGTATGATGGAATTTGATCTATTAATAAAACTTTCCTTCATAATAACTGGTAACAACCCTCATTTACCAAATCCTAAGAGTTTGCTTAACCACATTAGCTTAAGTCAGTTTACAAGAATAAAAATTCCTGATTGATGGAAAGAAGACATGATAGGATAGTAAAAAAAATAATTTACCTATGATGATACCTACTTCTAATAGAGTTATCTTCTTTAGGCTATTCCTATAATCGTCTTCTCTGAATGTGTATCATGGAATGGTAGAAACAGACTGCGAGCAAAAGAAAGACTTCAGTCATGGATTAAAAACTTCATACCATCTTATCCATGAATTACATAATATAGACTCAAGTTGTATTTATATTATAAATTGGAAATGATAAATCTGAAAAACTGAAGTTTCTATTCAGTGTAAACTTGCTCAACTATATTGAATTTCCTTGTCAATATAAAAGTGATGAATGTAAATATTTTTCCATACTTTGATTGTGTATGCTTGCTCGATATGTTACCTGTACATTAATAAAAAGGTCTGGCATAAGTGTAAGGTAATCATTTGAGACATTTAAAAAATTTTTAAATTTCTTTAATTCCATGATTTGCAAATTTATAAGTTTCTATTCTGTCATATTTTACCTTTTTAATTTTGGGGGGGTTATTTTTTATTCTGTCCCTACCTTATTCCTATTTTTCTTCTTTTTTGTGTATAAATTCCTGATTCTTTCCTTTCCTATAAACTATTCTCTTTCTTATCAGCACCACATTTCTACAAATGTAAAGAATCTTGAGAAGTCATCTAATGCAAGCTGTATTACACATAAACCATTATCTCTCAAATTAGGCCAAGTATGAACCAGTTTAGTTCAGTTCCTTGATATATCTCTCAGTCTTTTTCCATCTTACCATTAAATATCATTTTCAACTTCATGCCATGATAATCATCCTCATAAGCTTCACACCTTCCC